TTCGATAAATACCCATATTGTAGGGTATTACAGGTTTTCATTGCAATATGAAGGTTTCAGGAAAAATTTCCTCAATTCACTAGGAAGGTTAAAGTGAAAGCCACCATCCTGTAATCTAAAATGGCGTCAATGATTTTTTAAACATTATTAAAATAATTTTTATCAGGGCATCAATCGATTTTCGTGTGGGGTATTTGTTAATTTTTCGCATAGTGGAAGCCACTATCTTGGATTTAAATGTGGCGATGGATCTCACTTTCCGGCCTCTACACGGCTTCTTCGTTCCTAGAATATCCAAAATTTAAAGCATATTTATGTCAGTCCAGTTCCGAAAATGGCTATTTAGTAGGTTATTTAACTTTTTCTTCCATATTGGAAGCCGGAATACTTAATTCATGTCATTTTCGTTCCAAAAATACTCTTATTGTAAGGTATAACAGGTTTTCTTAATCTTCCTAATGCAATGGGAAAAATTTAAACAGTGTTTCCAGGAAAAAATGACTCCAATGCACTAGGAAGGTTAAACCGGAAGCCGCCATCCTGGAATCTAAAATAGCGTCAATCATCTCTTTTTGAAATTGTATGAAAGTGATTTTCAGCTGAGTGTTAGTTCATAACTGGCGTCATTCGTCGATTTTAGAGCTCTACACGTCAATTTCGTTCCAAATAAACCCATAGTGTGGGGTATTTGTCAGTTTTTCCCATACCGGAAGCCATCATCTTAGATTTAAATGTGGCGATGGATCTGGCCTATACACGATTTCATCGTTACTAACGTTTTCCGGCCTCTACACGACTTCATCGTCACTAACATTACAATAACATTACTTTAAAGTACACTACAGTACTCTAAAGTACATTACATTAAGTTGTCCCGATTGCAAGGCATTGGAAAGCATGGACAGCGCTTGTTGGAATTGCGGTGAGCATAGGGTTTCCTTGAGTTGTTATTTATTGTTTTCATCGCCTTCGATGTTGGGTAAATGTTCCACAAGGGCGTCAACCTTGTCCGGATCGGCGACAACCGACGGCAGGGATTCTTAATTGATCGCCGTAGAGAGTTCAACATAGCGTCGCTGTCCGGTACCCGCAGTAGTTGGGTTAATGCCTGCCAGATAGTTCTGCAGATCCGAAATGAGGACACGGTTACTGATGCCGCCGCTGGTGCTGCTGCCTCCGTTTCTTCCATTGGTGCCTTCTCCTGTGGTTGAAGCAGTCACAGGTGTAGCCGCTGCGGTTCCACTGGATCTTGATGAATCGGAAGTCTTTTTTGCGAAGTCGAGGGGTCGAAGGCTGCATTGATTGACGACCAAGTGCTACGGCTCGACGGTGTTGTGGCACTGGTACGGCTGCTAGAATTACCCGAAGATGAGCGACTCATCAACCCGAGCAAGCTGCTTAGTCCTCCCATCTGGCCAACCGCCTGCTAAAATCATCCATTCGTTTCAAAAACTCACAGAAAAATCCTATGACAGTTCAAAGCGCATTGGCATGTATTGAGGCCTCGACTGAGGTATTACAAAAGCATTACTGATTTATTGAAGCATTGACACATTAATGGTGTATTTGCATGAAATAAGGTATTTTCATGCATTTAAATATAATTGAAATTTAAGTATTTTTGATTCAGCACACCACATTTGCCCTTCGGCAGGAACTAAGTTTGTGTTGAAATTCGACCATTTTGACTCGAACTTATTTTTTTAAACGGTGTATTCGGTAAAATTCACAGCAGAATGCGCAGACCCTCCAGTACTTGGAGTACATCTGATCACCAACACCAACATAGAACGATTAGAAAACCCACCATCCGACGCAGGCATCGATCGCTTCACTATTGGAGCACTTATGCTATTTCACTAGCGCTAATGAGCCAGCTGCTAACAGAAAAGCTCACCAGCATTATGTAAACAGGGCATCAGCGTCCACCAACATGAGATTTCAGGAGCAACTGAAATTCGTGCTACTTGGCTAGTACACTAGCGCCAACAATCAATACGAAACTAACGATTTTAAATTGGCTCACTACTTGACTAGCCTATTGGTCCCAAAGAAATCGACTAACGTACCCCATTCTAGTATAAATTTCAGTAATACACTATGTTTGTTTTGATTCGCTACGAAAGTTTGACAGATAAAATGAGGGGTTAGTGGATTTTCCTATGTTTCGAGGGGTGAATCGATTAGCTTGGGACCGAAGATAGTACCAGAGTTGAGCCAAAGAGTTGAGCTCGTTCTTCGGGACCTTCTTGTCTTAGAGTTACCTCTATGCTAGCGCTACTAAATCTAAAAAAAGGAGTAAACACCCCATATGCCACAAATTTCTGGCCTGGGAGCACACGCGAAGAAAATAAAACAAGTGCGCAGTTAGCGACATCTCTTCTGATGCTTGCAAACACGATGAATCACGTTTTCTTCTCGATTCGAAAACATCCCAGAAAGCAAGAAAACCACCACAATCACACACGTATAACCGTCCGGAAGGCAGAGTGCCAGCGCCAATCAGCCAAATGCAGCCGAAAACGATCAAAGCGAACGCACGCACAAAAACAGAGAGCATACTTAAAACAGAACTGTATCCAACGGGTTTCGAGTCTCGAATCCATTTTTAAATAAATCATAGTACGAAAACGGCATAGGTACCTAAGAGCAGTTCCACGCCAAATCACGAATCGAAAAAACTTGACCTTCTCCGATCTGCATACAACTTTGCATAATTGTGTATTATGGGCAATCATTCATATACCTATTTTACAAAAGTTAGACCATTTAGTATCCTGTTTTTTTTTTTTCATTTCAAAATAATGTTTTTGTAATTTTTTCAATAAATTGTATCACAAATACTTCACTTCTGATTGAAATGATGTCTGAGACAAAGTTGTAGAGAAAAATATAGTCTTTCTGGGAAAAATATGCCTGGCTTTTTTTTGTAATGTTGAATAAAAATTAAAAAAAATTGTTATAAATTTGAATTTTTTTGATTGGGTCATAGGGGCTGTTCATAAACTACGTAGACTCTTTAGGGGGCAGGGGCTGCCAAATATCTACGGTCCATACAAATTTCCAAAACATTGTATGGGCGATTGTCTACGCTTGGATGGGGGTCGTCAAAAACCTCTTAAAATCGGTCTACGTAGATTATGAACAGCCCCATACATCATTGCGACCAACACATTGATCTTTTGTGATATGTCAGTGTCCTTTGTATAGTGACTGTCGTAGTACTTTCGTCATGACTATGGAACAGTAATGAGGAATTCGTTTTCGATACAGTTCATACTTGCTCTTCTCACAAGAATCCAAATTCAATTGTGATGTTCCGTACCCAAGGCGAACCAGCCAATGGCTGAAAGCCTTGTAAATAAAGGAAAAAAAAAAAAAAAAAAAAAAAAAAAATTGTGATGTTCCGTATCATTTGAAGAGTTCTGGAAGTTTTTGGTCAAAAGTACAAAAGGTCGAAAAAATAAAAGATCGAAGGACAAATGGTCGAAGGGACAAATGGTCGAAGAGCAAAAGGTCGAAGGGACAAAAGGTCGAATGGACAAAAGGTCAAAGAGACAAAAGGTTGAAGTGATAAAATGTCGATAGGACAAAAGGTCGAAAATACAAACAAAACGCAAAATACTGAAAAAAGCAAGCAGACATACCAACATGGTAATATGAACAATTTTACCGAAATTTTCAAGCAATTTATCTCTTTTAAAGTTGATTACTTCTTTACAACATGAGCAGTTCTTTGGAAAATCAAACAATACAGCTAAAAAAACTCGAATGACTTTTCTTACACTTGGAGATGTCTACACTGAAAATATTTTTTCGTTAATTCTATTATAATCGTTTCGTTAAAGTGGGTTTCGTATTTTTTTGTTTAATTATTTATTTGATAAGGCTCAATCGAATTAACTTTACAGAGCCGAGGATTCTTGGTCACTTTACAATACATCTTTAAACTATAGTCAAAAGGTACAACACAATAAACACTTTATCTTCCGCTATTCAGAAAGCCTCCTCAATCAGAACGGGAGCCGCTTCCAGTTTTCATTGTATGACAGTATCACCAATGGGGATCAGAGCGCTTCCATTGCAGAAATTGTGGTCAGCATTCACACACTCATCACGAAGCGGTTGCTTTCCAAAGTCGACGACGCATCGACCGAAAGAACTACTGATGAAGAACAATAAGGAGGACCACACAATGGTTGCTGCCGAGAAAAAAGATGATCGCGTGGCATACACTGAGTTTCGTATATAAAACACATTTTTCGTCAATTGTACGAATCATTCGTATTGCCTGCCATCTGACAAAATGCTAATACTACGCCTTATTCGTAAAATACATGAACTGAATTTCGTAAACTGCAGCTCTTCTTGTCTTCTAAAGTGTCTGTCCTTATTATTGTTGTTCATGTTGCTGATGGCGGTGATGGGCTAAGTTTTGTGTGTTGAAAAACTGTTACTGCTTTTGTGCTCACATTTGTTGTTGCTGCGAGTGATCCTGATGTGAATAGAGGTGGCACAGAACAGAAGGGAAAGTGCAAACAATCGTTGGTGGTTCGTTGTTCTGCTCAACCAGCAATGTATTGTGGTAGCGTTCTACACGGGCTTTCTATGTGCACTCACACTATCATAGCATGCTGCCTATCTTAACTGCAGGCAGAAGATGCCTTCTACCGCTAGGTGCGCTAGTGTTCGAAAATGACAAGTGGAGCCACTTTCTGATCCGAAGTTCCACTCCTGTGCAGGTGGCCAAGAAGGTGGAATACTGCGGCTAAAAATCTCCTAAATAAGAGAACAAAAAAAATATTTTTATTATTATTATTATTATTATGTTTGTGAAAAAAAAATAAATCCTGACGTCTATAATTATCTTTAAAATCAGTTCATAATTATATTTTGTAGTCCACAATTATATTTTAAATCAAAAACGTGCAAAGTATACATAGTTTATATTACTACAAAGTTTGATCCCGCATGACTAACATAAATTTCCCTTCTTACAGACACCATCCAATCTACTCCCCCGCCGCCAGCACCGGCTCCCCATAGGAAATCCTCCATCGATTGTGACGCGCAGACAACACTGCAGCAGTTGCACAATCAACAACAGGCTACTTCCGATGTCCAGGCGGCTCTCAAAGATATACGAACCTGCCTGCAACGCAACAAAACGCTTGCATCATCTCCCACACAACCCCAACCGGGATGCCTGTCATCTCAACAACAACAACCTCATCAGCAGAAAAACTACGACAAACATTCGATGTTACCATCGGACAAGCTGGACTCTCCAGTTCCGTCCATATCTCCGGTGTGGATACCACGCTCGAGGGATAGCAAGCTGGTAGCCATATCACCCACTACGGTGATCAATTCTTCACCCGGACTGTTGCTACCGACGACACCGACTACGGGTGGACCAACTGAACGGTCGACCAACTTGTCCACTGAGAAGGACTCGCTACTGCATGGAAACAGTGCAAAGAATTTAAGTGCTCTTGACGATGACGAAGATCCGGATACGGACTTGGAGACTGATCGATTGCTAGGTCATCAGAGGTTGGATGACCAGGGCTTCTACGACGACAACAGCAAGAGTTGGACTGACCGAAAGACTCGCTCTTTATTGCACAAATTATCTCCTAAGCAGCAGATAGGTTCCGTAGGAGCCAATGGTGGAACTTCCCTATACGGAAGCAAACCCAACAACCAGGGATCTTTGCTACGGCAAGGTCTCTCGACGTTACTGTCACCGGCCAGTGTGGTAACGGTTGCTCAACCAGCCAGCTCACTACCGGAAATTGTCACATCCAGTAAGGCCTCCCCAGGACTATTGGGCAGTGTACAGAATCAGAACTGTAGTAATATGAATAGTAGTGTGAATAGTGGAAATTTGATCAATCTCAATGGTCCGAACGAGACGAGTCCGGTTTCGCCGGATCACAGCCTTCAGACGTCACCAATCAAAATGGAAAACAAGACCACTGAGAGCGCGAGTCCCGGTGGATCTAACAACTCTAAATCCGACACGGACAAGAAGAAGAAGGGCAAGAATAAGGAAGGTGAGTGTAAGTGCTTGCATTTTCATTAAGTAATATATTCCGAGGTGTAATTCAATGTTTCTCAAACTAATGCTTTCATGGATTTAAAATTAATTATATTTCACTTAACGTAAGTAAAACACTATTTTCAATCGATAAGCAATGAAAATAAAGCTGTAATTCATTCTGCAGGTCTGCCGTAGTCCTTATCGAGGGAGTTCTCTTCCGAGCCAGATACCTGGGGTCTACCCAATTGGTGTGCGAAGGTCAGCCGACCAAATCTACACGAATGATGCAAGCCGAAGAAGCAGTATCTAGAATCAAGGTATGACTTCGGAACAAAGTTACCAAAAATAGAAACCTCACACAGTAAACTTTCCTCTTTTCCCATCTTTCTATGTCTCTTTCCTGATTGCACATTTTCAACCAACATGTATCGCTATAATCGTTCGTATAGGCCTTGGTAAGTGTGCATTGTGCACGTGTGTAATATTAGCGTCCTATTTCAACATGTCAAACGTTTTTTTCCAGTCTCCCGATGGCGAACCACAGCCCAGTACCGAGGTGGATCTTTTCATATCAACGGAAAAAATCATGGTGCTGAACACGGATTTGAAGGAGATTATGATGGATCATGCCCTGCGAACGATCTCGTACATAGCGGATATCGGCGATCTGGTGGTGCTGATGGCTCGAAGACGATTTGTGCCTCAGGATGTTGATTCCGGGGATTCTGGAGGGGGTGGTAATGCAAATGGAACGAACCAGTCCGGTACAAACCAGACCGGCTCGACTCCAACGCAGAAGACTGCCGGTGGACCGAAGGGTAACCGGACACCGAAGATGATTTGCCATGTATTCGAAAGCGAAGAAGCGCAGTTCATAGCTCAATCGATTGGACAAGCATTCCAGGTGGCCTATATGGAGTTCTTGAAGGCAAACGGAATTGAAGATCACAGCTTTATGAAGGAGATGGATTATCAGGAAGTGCTCAACAGTCAGGAAATATTCGGCGACGAGTTGGAGATCTTTGCCAAGAAAGAACTGCAGAAGGAAGTGGTTGTTCCGAAGGCAAAGGGTGAGATATTGGGAGTGGTGATTGTTGAATCCGGCTGGGGTTCTATGCTACCGACGGTAGTGATTGCCAATTTGGCATCGTCCGGCGCCGCTGCCCGGTGCGGTCAGTTGAACATTGGCGATCAGATCATTGCCATCAATGGGCTGAGTTTGGTTGGGTTGCCACTGTCCACTTGTCAGAGTTACATTAAAAATACGAAAAATCAGACTGTGGTCAAATTTACCGTAGTTCCTTGTGCCCCGGTCGTGGAGGTGAAGATCAAACGACCCAACACCAAGTATCAGCTGGGATTTAGCGTGCAAAATGGAGTGGTATGTTGTTGATGAATGTGGTGATGGTGGTGGAATAGTTAGTAATATGATTCAATATTTTGCAACAGATTTGCAGTTTACTGCGCGGTGGAATTGCCGAACGAGGAGGAGTTCGTGTTGGGCATAGGATCATCGAGATCAACAACCAAAGCGTGGTAGCTGTTCCACATGAAAAAATTGTGAACCTTTTGGCTACTTCCGTTGGAGAGGTAAGTAGCACCGGGATTGAATTCAAAATATGAATATTCACAAGCTCTACAATATTACTCCAAACTGCTACAGTAGCTTTGTATAATGAGCGTTCAAAACAGATCGCAACAACTTGTGATCTCCTTTTTGACTTTCATTCAGCCGAACCAACCTACTTCAAGTTGCTTAGCAGGTCGAGATAAGGACCTACGACCACGAGGATTTTAGAGAAGATTAAGAGAAATGAATCGACATCTAATTGGCAAAAATAAAAATAAAATGCATTGCATTGAGACATGCAGTTCGGGCTATAGATACTATAGATTTCATAGATAAGCGGAAGCTCAAAAAGTTCCTTTGGCAACCATGACAAATGAGTGTTCTTACTGGCATCCGTGAAAAATGTTCATGCCATTCAACAGCTTTTCGTTTTGCAGTTTTGTTTTGTTCCTAACTTTGCTCAAATATTACAATACTTCCCGAAAAAAAAACGCCATGATCGTTTGGCTAAACTAACTGACAGTTCGTTTGGCTACATTTTACTTCGCTTCCGCTTATCTATGAAATAATTCAAACTCGACGTCAATATCAATGACACTGATGAACCTTTGACAAAACGGTGGATTTTTTTCACAAATCGCCCAGTTGTTTGACCCACTTGGCCTGATAGCTCCAGCAATCTTGCAGGCTAAATTTTTAATGCAGCAAATATGGATATATGCTTTGGGATGGGACGATCCAGTTCCAGCTATCATAGAAGCAAAATGGAGAACAATTCGCCAGTAATTACCAAAACTTAAGGACATGAGAATTGAACGTTATGCATTTTTGCCAAATACCTCAGTTGAAATGCATTGTTAGGATATGGAGCATCTATCTACTGCAGGTCTGAAACCTCTAACGGGACCGTCAAGGTTCAATTAATTGCCGCCAAATCAAGAGTAGCACCACTCAAGCAAATCTCATTACCTAGATTGGAACTGTGTGCTGCCTTATTGGGTCCTCGACTGTAGGAAAACATCGGTCAGCTTTGGACATGAAATTCCAGAATGTAACTTTCTGGTCGGACTCTACGGTGGTTTTACATTGGCTTAAAGCACCACCAAACAAATGGAAAACGTGCGTCGCTAATCGAGTGTCTGAGATTCAATCCACCACTCATAATGCAAAATGGTACCATGTAGACGGATTGGAAAATCCCGCAGACTTAGTTTCAAGAGGTCTGTTACCTGAAGAAATAGTACACAACAGAAAATTGTTTGAAGGACCTGAATGGCTAGTAAAACCCAAGTAACACTGGCCGTACGCGCATCAACCCCAAGGATTACCCCCTGGAATCGACTTGGAAGTTAAACTTGCCTCATTGGCAGTGCAAGTAAATCTGAAGAAGGAAATCAACCCGATGTTCCTTAAATTTTCATTATACAACAAATTGATTATGATCACTGCATATTGCATATATATATATATACGCATATATATATATATATATATATATATATATATATATATATATATATATATATATATATATATATATATATATATATATATTCATACATAATGCACGACCAAAAACAAACAGAATAAAATCGCAATTTGTAACAGTGGAGGAGCAAAGTAGTGCCACTAAAACCCTAGTGCGGTTTGTACTAACTTGTAAGAAGTTTTCGCCGAAGAGTTCAAGTAGCTTAGAAAAGGACAACCAATTACTAAACACGCAAATTTGAAACTTTTGAATCCATTCTTAGATAAAAATGGATTGATTCGCGTTGGTGGCCGGCTGAATTTGTCAGCGGAGACATTTTCAGTGAAGCACCCTATTTACAAAACTCTTGAATGTGATATGGCCGTAGACCGGATTTACTACTACTTGAAAATACGTCTTAGCTTGATGAGAGACAAACTTGGAATGGCATTTTATTTCAGACTATGAGAATACATTTATTTGTAGGTTGCTTCGATTATTCGTCGCTTGCTAGGTTTCTACCTCCAACACTCCTTCTCGACGAAAGAATCATGGCTGCATCTCGAAACCGCGTTTGCTTGATACGTTGATGAGGCTTCGTCATCATGTCTGCAATCATTTCGTTTGTTGGAAGGTATTGTGGACTGATGATTCCTTGCTCCTTCAGTTGACGCGCATAGTGGTACTTCGTGTCAACATGCTTCGAACGTCGCTCGCTGGAGTTGGATTCGAGTTGCTTGATGGCGCTCTGGTTGTCCTCGTTCATAGTAACCGGAAACTTGGTGTGGATTCCCAGATCGTCGAATAGTCGTAATATCCAGCATAACTCCTTGCATCTCTCCGTTATAGCAACGTACTCAGCTTCCGAACTGCTCAATGTTACGCAATCTTGTTTCCTGGAACACCATCCAATCATACCACCTGCATCAGGTAGCCTGTGGTTGACTTGCGATCTTTGGTGTCACCAGCTCAGTCGGCATCTACGTACACCTCCAATTGCGTGGAATCGGCTAACAGGATTAGCTCGTGGTCAATAGTACCTTTTAAGTACCTCAGGATACGCTTCGCCTCCACCCAATCAGCCTGTGATGGGCAACTAGTTTTTCTCCCCAGGATTGAAACAGCTGCTGCAACATCAGGTCGAGTACACATGGCCACGTACAACAATTCACCAATCAAGCTGGCATACTGATGGTTATTGGGCAGCGGGTTCTCCTCCTTTGGATGTAGGTGACCTGGGTCCAATGGTATAGCGGATGGCTTCGCGTTTTCCAAACCGAATCTGGTCAGAAGCTTCTGGATGTAGGCTCTCTGACTTAGTGCAACGTGTTTCTCGGAACGGAAGACCTGGATACCAAGGAAGTGCTGGATATCCCCGAGCGACGTCACCGTGAAATATTGGTTCAGCTTATTAACGATGGCCTTGTAGTCGTTTTCATTCTCGCATTCTATAATGAAATCGTCAACATATACAGCAATATAAGCGATTTTACCTCTGTTCTGCATGACGTAGAGACAAAAATCGTTCTTGTACGGCTTGAACCCCATTTGTATCAGCGTTTTATCCAATTTGTGGTTCCAAATAAGCCGCCCGTACAATCCTTTGCGAAGACAACAAACCACGTTTTCTGCATCCGCTGTGCATCCAGGAGGCAACCGCATGTAGCTCACCATTCAAGTACGCTGTCTTGACATCTGCATGTTTGATGAGAAGTTTCTTCTGGCAGGCGACGGAGAATAGTGTCGGTCTGCCAAACTTTGTCTTCATTTTCTGCACATAGTCCTGGATAGCGTCAAATGTTTCTGATTTTTCTCGCATCAGATACAGCGTTGTGTACCGGCTGTGGTCGTCAATAAGCGTCAGGAAATAACGACGACCACCCGGAGTCACCGTCCTCATTGGTCCACACAGGTCACTGTGTACCAGGTCCATCACAGCCGTCGTTTTCTTCGTTGCTTCCTTTGGAAATGGCAGTCGTGCCATCTTTCCTTGCAGACAGGTCTCACAAGGCAAAACCAAACCGCACTGCTTAATATTGATGCCCGTCGCCAATTGTCGTTGCTCCAGTTCTTGGACTGCCTTGACATCACGGTGACCGAGCTTACGGTGCCAGTCATGCAAACAATTCTTCTTATTGCAATGCTCAATTGCCGCACCCACGCGTTCCTCCATCTGCAAGTGGTAGAGACCGTTGCTACGCCTTGCTATACAGCCGTAATCCGTGTTCCTTTGACAATCGTACAGCCATTGTCGTTGAACTCTACCGCTGCGTCTTTCTGGACGAGTTTCCCGACGGAAACGAGGTTCATATCCAGATCTGGGACGTACAGGACACCGGTGAGCACGATTTGCTTCGCTTCGCTGTCTTTCCCGTAGCAATGGATCTGGCAGTTACCCACACCTTTCACGAATGCTTTCTTCCCATTAGCGACAGTAACGAAACTTGGGATATCATCTCGTGGTTTCTCAACGGATACGAAAAACTTTCGATTGGCACACATGTGGGAGCTGGCTCCAGAATCCACGATCCATTTCGTCACTGGTCCTTCACGAGCGTTGAAAACGAAATCCTCTTCAGTGGACTCCGTTTTTCTTGCATTTGCCTGTTGCTTGGCAAACTTCTTGGTTTCCTTGGCAACCGATTTTTCACTTCGAGAAACATCATCCTGGCTCTGCTTCTGCCAAATTCTGCAGTCTCGCTTCTTGTGGCCAACCTTCTGGCAGTGGTGGCACACAATGGATTTCGATTTCCCGGCCACCTTCAATACCGCTGAATCCGCTGGAACAGTCCCTTTTCGCTTCTGCACCTCATTGATAATTTTATCCTTTACAAGGGCCAGCGTCAGCTCGTCCTCCGACCGATTTTCGAGGGTAGTCGTCAGCGCGTCGAAAGAGCTTGGTAGACTGCGGAACACCAGGATTACCTGCAAATCGTCGTCGAGCTTCGTACCAGCGTTGGCCAGTTTTTCAAACAAACTCTCGAGTCCAAAGGTGGTCCTCGATTTCGTCTCCTTCCTGGAACTTGAGATCACAAATCCGCTTCAGCAGGTGAACCTTCGACGTTAGTGACTTTTTTTCATGTTGCTTCTCCAGATTTTTCCATACTTCCTTTGCAGTTTTCGTAGCCCGGATATGGCCGTGTTGACACCTGTTCAGCAGCAGCCCAATGGTCGCACGCGCTTTCTGATCCCCTTCGTCCCAGGCAATCAGCTCCACCGCATTCGCTCGGTTTGCAGCCTCTTCCGGCTTGACTCCGGGCACGATGTACTTCCATAGTCCTTCGCGAACCAGCAGGAATTCCACCTCCAGCTGCCAGGTTTCGTAGTTTTCGTTCGTCAGCTTCGTTATTCCGGATCTTTCCATCTTGAACTTCTTCGGGCCCAAAACCTCTTTAATGTGATATGGCCGTAGACCAGATTTACTACTACTTGAAAATACGTCTTAGCTTGATAAGAGACAAACTTGGAATGGCATTTTATTTCAGACTATGAGAATACATTTATTTGTAGGTTGTTTCGATTATTCGTCGCTTGCTAGGTTTCTACCTCCAA